ATGTTAAAAGATCAAATCCTTGGTTGATAGCGTGCTTGGAATCTAAAATATTCGTGTGAAGTAAAGTAAAAATGGAACATTTTGGTGTTGAGTATTGGTAAAGCTAAAAAGAATAAGATGAAAGGGACTATACCTGAGCACTGATCTCCACCTGGCCAGTTCTGTTGTTACGAACTGGGTGGTTTCCTCCATGATGACCAAACTTCATCTTGAAGGTTTTACCACCCAAAGCTTGGCCGAGCAACTGATGACCCATACAGATTCCGTAAACAGGGACTTTACCGAGAAGCTCTTTAACTGTCTCAACAGCATATGGCACAGCAGAAGGGTCTCCAGGACCGTTGCTGAACAAAATCCCATCTGGATTCATTTTCAGTGCCTCGGAAGCTGGCCATGTCGACGGAACAACAGTGATTTGACATCCGTAAGATGATAGGCGTCTTAGGATGTTTTGCTTGATTCCAAAATCGTAAGCGATAACCTTTGAATTCAAGAGAAAAGTATAGAAAGAGAGAGTAAGAAGTTGGTGCTGAGCATCAATAAGAGAAGAAGTAGAGAAGTAATACTCACTTTGTAGGATTTCCCATCGCGTGAATTCGTGTTGAAATCCCATTCAGGGTTTGTTTTGTCAACCCATTCATAAGGAGATTTACATGATACGTCACTTATTAGATCAATACCTACAAGATTCAAATAAGCAGACAGAAGGAGTTCAACATTCCAAGGGTTATATCATAATGCAAAAAAAAAACAGGAACGGTTAGAGAATTCTGACCTACAATATCCCATGAACGAGACATTTGCAGAAGTTCGTCATCTGTTTTGGACTGTTCTGTGGTCAACACTCCGATAAGACTACCATCTTCTCTTAACCGACGGGTTATTGCTCGAGTGTCAAGATCATCTGATAGTGTTCACAAAAACATCCCCAAATAGAGTAATCAGAGATGCTTTCAAATCCAATTATATAACATGTAGAATCTAAATAGTATCGTGAACACAGGGAACTTACAAACTCCCATGATGTTCCTTTCGGTTAGATAGTCAGCAAGTGTTTTCGTGCATCTCCAGTTTGAGGTACTGAAAATTTTACAATTCAAAAGTTAGGCACTTCAAGAAGGAGGATAATGGAAGACAAGCCAAAGAAAAATGAACACTTACCTGATGCTTAGGTTTCTTATCACCAAACCAGTAAGAAAGCATTGCCCAGACTCTTCATCATCTAGAACCAAACATTCAAATGTAATAAGAAACATTAAGAAGATAAGTTTTACAGTGAATAAGATATCTCCGAATTCGACATTGCCACTTACCGGGATTGACACCAGTGTTACCAATTTGTGGGTTTGTCATTAGCACAAATTGCCCAGCATAACTAGGATCAGTAAGAATTTCTTGATACCTTCCGAAGACAAACAAAATCTAAAATTCAGTAAGCTAAAATTAACAATCTTTAAGGTGATATAATGTAATGAAACAACAAACTGACCCTGTCAAGGAAGTGTTAAACACCAATTCAGCAATACGAGTTCCAGGAGCACCAAAGGACTTAGCCGGCCAGATAGAACCATCTTCTAACACAAGCCTAGCATTGTACGAAGTCCAAGGTTTCTCCACAACACCTACAATGTGCAAAAATCAAGACTTTTGGCACTAATTCTAAAGCCAGAGACTTTCTCCATCAAACGAAAAATCCAAGCTTTATCTTTATTCAAGAACTAAAACCCAAATGGATACAATACAAAATTTCATCAATTTTGAAAGGAAATGAAGGAAGTGAAAGCAAAATTTACCAGAAGTGGGAAAAGTGAGTGGAGAAGTGGAGCATCGGATGACCGAAACCCTAAATCCACCGCCGCGACGGTCGAAGGAAGGCTGGGAAGATAAGCTCGTAGGCAAAACAAAGCCTAGAGTCCTTGTTGCCATGGCCATGTTGTTTTCTCAGGAGGAAGAAGAAGAACGAAGAAGAAAACGGCGTCAAGGTTTTTTATTAGGGTTGGGCCGATTGCTGTTTTTTTTAAAAATTAATTCGTTATTATTACAGTATCTTACTTTTGACTTTTATTGACCTTTTTCTCTAGTAAATTGGTCACATAATCTGATAATCATAGTTTTGTTGCTAAAATAAAATAAAATCATAGTTTTGTTTATGATACAAATAGAATAAAGCATCGAAAATATGTCTAAAGGTATTTAAAAATCTACAAAATTCGTTGCTTTTTCGAGCATGGCAAATTGTAAAACAAAACATTTCCTTTTTTCTTTTTTGTTATGTAATATGCAAGTTTAACCTAAATGATGATTATGATTTTCGTTCATCGTGAGAGAAAATAAAACATGGTAGTTTAACTCTGAATAATGATTATGATTTTCGTTTATCGTGAGAGAAAATAAAACATGGTGTAGAAAAAGGGATTCCGTTAAAATAGTAGTTAGCCGTGATGTTGTGTTTGCTGAGACAAAGGGATGAAATTGGAAGCAAGACAATTCAACAAAAGATGGTGATGGAAAGCTTCAAAGTTACGTTTGAGGATGTTGGGAATCATAGACCGCAAGAGCGAGAGGAGAATGTTGAAGCAGGGCAACATTTAGAGGATAAAGAGCTGCCCGAAGAATCTGAAGATGTGAAAACCCTGAGACAACGCATGACCTCGAGCTGGAACATGAGGCTAGTGTCTCTGTTTCTCCTTCCCCTGTTTTAAGAAGAACACAAAGACAGGTTAGTAAACCAAAATATCTTGCAGATTATGTCTTACTTGCGGAAGAAGAAGGGGAGATGTTGCTTTTGTGGTTAAACAACGAACCAATGAGTTTATACGAAGCAAAAGAACACAAAGAGTGGACATGCGCCTGTGAGGATGAAATTAACTCTATTGAAAAGCTTAAGACATGGGATCTCGTGGATTTGCCAATCGGAGTGAAACCAAATGGTTTAAAGTGGGTGTTCAAACTGAAAAGGAACTCTGATGGGAGTATAAACAAATACAAACCTCGTCTCGTTGCTAAAAGGTATGTACAGAAATATGGAGTAGATTTTGAAGAAGTCCTTGCTCCGGTGGCGCGAATTGAAACAATAAGGCTTCTTATCGACCTTGCAGCAGCTCACAGATGGGAAATACATCATCTTGACGTCAAACAGCCTTCTTGCATGGAGAACTAAAGGAGGTCGTTTATGTGTCTCAACCAGAGGTGTTCGAAAAGAAGGGAAGAGAGGATAAGGTTTAAAAACCCAACAAGGCATTGTATGGCTTGAGACAAGCCCCAAAAGCATGCAACAACAAGTTGAATCAAATTCTCTTGGAGCTTCAGTTTGTGAAGTGCTCTAAGGAGCCATCTGTTTATCGCATAGAAGTTAAAGAAAATCTACTTGTCATAGCTGTGTACGTTGATGATCTGTTTGTCACGGGAACAAGTTTGGATCTCGTTAACAAGTTCAAAGAGGAGATGTCCTCTAAGTTCGAAATGAGTGATCTCGGAAGACTGACATACTATCTTGGAATTGAAGTAATTCAGCATGATGAAGGAATAGTGTTAACTCAAAGTCGATATGCTCTCAAGATCCTAGAAGAAACCGAAATGAAGGATTGCAACCTAGTTCATACTCCTATGGAGACCGGATTAAAGTTGGCAAAATCAGAGAATGAGAAAGAAGTAGATGCTACGGTTTTTAGGAAAAATGTTCGTTGTCTCAAATACTTGCTTCATACGAGACCAGACTTATCATTCTGTGTGGGAGTTCTAAGTAGATATATTCAAAGTTGTAGAGAATCACATGAGGCTGCGATGAAGCAATTTTTGCGGTACTTACAGGGAATTATTACGTTTGGCTTAAATTTTAAGAGGCGTATGGAAATACCAAGACTAGTTGGCTATAATGATAGTAGTCATAATGTTGATCCGGATGATGGAAGGAGTACAACAGGGAATGTGTTCTACCTTGGTGAAAGTCCAATATCTTGGTGTTCACAAAAACAAGATATTGTGGCATTATCATCCTGTGAAGCTGAGTTCATGGCAGGGACTGAGGCGGCAAAACAAGCAGTTTGGCTCCAAGATCTATTGAGTGAGATAACAGGGACATTATGTGAAAAGGTCACCATACCCATTGACAACAAATCTGTGATAGCTCTTACAAAGAATCCAGTGTTCCATGGCCGAAGTAAGCACATACAAAGGCGATATCATTTCATAAGAGAATGTGTTGAAAATGGACAAATAGAAGTAGATCATGTTCCGAGAAGTGAGCAAAAGGAGGACATCTTAACAAAGGCACTTGCAAGAATCAAGTTCAAAGAGATGAGGGAGCTCATTGGCGTTCAAGATTTGGAGAAAGTCGAGTTCAAGCTTAACGGGGAGAATGTTGACGTAAGCTTGAAGTAAGTTCAAGTTAAAAAGAGATTAGTACTAGAAACTTTAGGACTTATCTAAATTTGTATTTAGGAGTTATCAAAATATGAGTTCTAATAAGAATATGATTTGATTATGAGATTCTTATATAAGGAGATGCCAAGGTGTGGCATAACTTATGAGTTTAAGAGTTGAAAGAGAGATTAAGAGATTTAGGTTTTGAAAGAGTTTCCAAAATAATAAAAGAGAGTTATTATTTTGTTTTTGTGTTCTTGATCTTTCTTTGAATTCTAGAGGAAGAAGCTTGGTGAGCTTTATCAGAGACAATATAAGAAAAGAACGAGAAGAAAGCTCGGAAGTCGGAAGGTGGTTCATCGTCAGCTATAAGCACACCTTATCGAGAAGGAAGAGAAGAAGAAGTCTAATTGGCATCGTCATCGTTGTCTTCATGGATTCTCTTCATGTAGTGGAAGTTTCATACTTTCATGGAGAGGAGGAAGAATATGAACTCTGAAGCTTTCTTTCACGGAGAGGGGGGAGATAAACGACGCCGTAACTAGAAATTAATTAATTTTGTATCAAAGATGGGCCTTTTAAAAATTAGTATGGGCCTAATATAAATGATATGGGCTTGCCCAATGAAAGACCATCTCTCTCACTCACAACCACACTCGTAAAGATTGGTGTGATTAATGGCGCTTTCTCTCAGCCAGACTCGACCACCAAGCCTTAGCCTTAACCTTAGCGTCGTCGTTCCTAAGAGAAGGTTAGTTTCAATCCGATGCGGTCCACGCGACAACCGCGGACCACTTCTCAAAGGTCGAATCCTAAGCACCGAAGCAATCCAATCGATCCAATCTCTCAAACGAGCACATCGAACCGGTAGCTCAATCTCTCTTACCCTCCGTCCTCTCCGCCGTCTCATAAAATCCGATCTAGTCTCCGTCCTACGTGAGCTTCTCCGTCAAGACTATTGCACTCTCGCTGTTCATGTTCTCTCCACTCTTCGTTCAGAGTATCCTCCTCTTGACCTTGTTCTCTACGCCGATATCGTTAATGCTCTTTCGAGGAATAAAGAGTTCGATGAGATAGATCGTCTTATTGGAGAAATAGAAATAATTGATCAAAGAAGTGATGATAAGGCTTTAGCTAAGTTGATTAGAGCTGTGGTTGGAGCTGAGAGGAGAGAGTCGGTGGTTAGGGTTTATACCTTGTTGAGAGAGAGTGGGTGGGGGTCTGAGTCGTGGGAGGCTGATGAGTATGTGGCTGAGGTTTTGAGTAAGGGTCTCTTGAGACTAGGAGAGCAAGACTTGGCTGCTCAGGTCTCACTCAAATCTTCAATTCTAAACCCTTGAATTATTCGGGGTTTTCGGGTTTTGGTGAAGGTCATAAACTTTTGTAACATGTGGTAGATACTCATTTGGATTCCATGTTTCTATCATTATTTTGGTAATGTTAGCATTCCTATTTTGTTGCTATGGTTACTTCTTTTCAATTTGCTTCGAGCTGAAATCGATTCGGGTAGCGAAAAACGGACTAGTTAAGAAATGATTGATGGACAGACATTGTTCCTGATGAAATACTTGTAAAATGGTGAAAGAAGCTCTGGTCACAGCAAAACAGATGGCTTTTAGATGGATATTCGGATTGGAGCTTGATTTGTTCATTCAACTTGAAGAAATTCTTGTTGAAAGAGTAATTTGGGGAGTAGATTAGATCATGTCTATATCACTTGGAAGTACTTTTCTTCCGGAGATCGTTGCTAGACTCAATCAACGGGTTGTTGATACAGAAGAGAAAGTGAAACTGCGTTGAAAGACTTGTACCCGAAATGTGAGAGATGTGTTTATCAATGTAACGCGGTATAACAGTTATAATCAAGGGAAACTGTTCGAAAGAGCAAGTATTTGGTCAGCACAAGACTTGACCATTTGGTTATCTCTGGAGACAACAATAACCTATGGTAGAAATAGAAGATCACAGCCATTGCGATATGCGAATTAGATTGGTAACAAATATTTTATGCATCGACAAAACGATTGGAAATGTACTACATAATGCGGTGTTTACAATGATGTGTCTGAAGTTTTTAGACATGGGGTAAAAATTTATGTTTCTTTCATTGTTGTAACTTGTAAACCCTTGGAATGAAATGAGCACAGACTCTTACGAGGCAAAAACTCAAACTACTCTATGAAATGAGTTTATATTTGATTTTGACGATTAATGCATAGAGGCCATAAGAAGGAAGATGCAGGAGTGCCACCAACAAATACCTGCAGATGCATGAATTGAACTATTAAGGATAGGCAAGATCATTCTAAGGAATGAAACATTTCATTCTCTTCTTGATAAAACCAACCGATCCTCTGACTCAGCTATGTAAATGTTTTCAAGACTTACCACACTGGAGCCATGTCTAATGACAGGTTGAGAAATGGATATGGCCACCTGAGTCAATCGAGGAATAGAAGTGTAAGATAAATCAAGAAGTAAGTTTAACATATAAAAGATGATAGAGATAAAGGCCAGATAAGAGTTTTTACCCTACGGAGATAAACATATGGAGAATCCACTGGAAAAGAACAAAACTTCCTGTCCACAAGATGAAGTAAGAGAACCTGAACAAGGGAAATTTCTGCAAAGCAACACCAAAAAAAGACCTCAGGTTGATACATTAATGAAACGAAAACTCGTCATAACATCTTATATGCAGAAAGAAAGAAGTGTTTTACCAGACGGTTAAGAGACGTGTCAATAAGCAGCAAAACTAGGTTGCTCGTGTGCAAATTCACAGTCATCTGAAACACACAATGTTGGCAAAGTTGTGTGTAGAAAGTGCCGTTAGCCGTGTACAAGCTTTAACTATTATACTGTATAAGAAAAATTCTTGATGAATAGTGCGAAAACTTACGAAACTCATCTCATATTCCTGTAAAGACAGAAACGGGAAAATAAAGGTCCAATATATACTGTCTGTAAGCACCGCTGCTCCAGCACCCATCTGTTTTTCAACAAACCAAAACACACAAGTACCAAAACAGTATCAGTTATCACATATAAACTAGTGAAGCCAGAAAACTGAAAGTTGCAAACTAAACATCATGATCACCAAAGGAATGTGTCTACCTGATATATAATCTGGAAGAGATGAACATACAACTTTAGTGCCTCTGAACCAGAAGTTTTTCTCTTCTCGAACGAAACCATGTTGTTACCATCTATAAGGGGTGAACGAACCCCGTTCTCTGCATCGATTCCTACTTGATCAGCAATAAGTTTCGTGTTCCCTTGCTTCTTGTATTGTAAACATCCATAAATTGAAAGCAATGATCCCATCTACATAACACACAAGTGACAAAAACATTCATAATCACTAAACTTGACTATAACCATATACATATTCTCAACATCGAAAATCAAAACATACCCCGAAGTAGATCGCTATCAATGTAAATGTCCACCTACCAATCATAAATCTCAATCATATCAGTCTCAAAGCATCAAAGATCTTCACTTTCCACAAAACAAAGTAGAGATCTTTAAAGAACTTACTGAGTATAATAGTAGTAAATACGCCATCCACGATTAGCAAACCGGACAATATTGTTAGCAAGAAGAAAACAAAACCCGATAACCCGAAAACCCAACAACCAACCCGGATGGATTTGTTCAAAACAAGGTCTCCAAACATCATCAATGCATAAAACATCAGCATCATCATCATTACCACTACCATTAAGTGATGGTTGAGTTTGTACTGAACTATCTTCGTACTTCCATAAAACGAATAAAGAAACAATCATTGGAGCTATTACCCATATTGCACATAGTAACACTCTCCAATTAAACCAGTAATCAAAGCTGGTCAATTCCAAAACATTCTCAAGATTCATTTTTTTCTTTCTCTAGTTGATCCGTCTGAATATTCGGATCTTTTAGATCCGAAACTCAATGGGATCAACACCGGACTTGAAAACCCAGATCAGAAACTGTCTCTGCAGAGGAATTAAATTAGCTTAATTGATTTACATGTAGACATATTGATAAAAGATTATGTAGCTTGGGTTCTTGATACTTACGTAATGTTAAGAGAAATGTAAAAGTTTCTTGTTCTTGTTCTTGTGTGTGATGGAGAAGTCAAGTTGAGACTATGAAGGTGATGAGATTCTTGTATAAATCTCCAGAACTATTATCCAAAGGCGGTGGCAGAGGCCCACTGAGATGAAGAAATCGGAGAACACAAAGTGGAGACAAGGACAGGTGGGACCTTCTCCGTTTGTCCAACGCTTATTTGAGAAACGTCGTCGTTTTAGTTCGTGTGTATTTTACTTAAATAGGCAGGCCTATATTACAAATGAGAAAAATGTCATTTAAATCGTCACTTTGCCATTTGTGGAGGTTTAAAGCATGAACTTTGAGTCTGGTGAATTTAATCCTCAATTTCTAGTTGACTTTCAATTTAATCTCTAACTTTCGTTGACGATGCCGATTGAGGCACGTCTTTAACTGGACAAACGGAGGATTAAGACGCTGTTATATGTCCGTCTAATATATCCGTTAATAAGCTAAACGATGTCGTTTAATCAAATGAAAACCCCCAAATTCGATTAAGCTCGAACCCTAGAATACCAAATCGAAATTAGAAATACAAAATCGAAGATTCTCTCTCGTTTTCTTCTCTAATCAAGACTTCAAGATAGCTGTGTTGAGTTTTCGATGTAAAGATCCTTACACCTAACCCACACACACTTTGAAGGCACTCCACGGGCAGCGAGTACTATCGATGTCTCGGAGCTAGAACTCATCGGAATCGAGACAACAGATCTTGAGGAATAAAGATGAGATCGAGATTTGAGAAGAAATCGAGATTAGAGAAGAAAACGAGAGAGAATCTTTGATTTTGTATTTCTAATTTCGATTTGGTATTCTAGGGTTCGAGCTTAATCGAATTTGGGAGTTTTCATTTGATTAAACGACGTCGTTTCGCTTATTAACGGATATATTAGACGGACAGATAACAACGTCTTAATCCTCCGTTTGTCCAGTTAAAGACGTGCCTCAATCGGCTTCGTCAACGAAAGTTAGAGATTAAATTGAAAGTCAACTAGAAATTGAGGATTAAAAGCACCAGACTCAAAGTTCATGCTTTAAACCTCCACAAATAGCAAAGTGACGATTTAAATGACATTTTTCCCTATTACAAATCTGTATAAATGGGATAATATCTACATGGGCCTATTTATTATAGTAAAGCCTAAATTTTTTATTTTTTTTTACTTTTTGGAGGAATGGCACAAAAAGGAGAAGAAGAAGTGGTTTATTATATTTTGTTAAGATTCTTAAGAATATAGATCCCAAAAGTTTTATGTATTTGGTTATTACTTTGTTTATGATTTCAAATTTCTATGTAGTTTAGTCAAAATATCATTAATGAATATAGATCCCAAAAGTTTTATGTATTTTTCTTTTAATTATGTAGTATGTATGACTTTTCGAATGGTGATAACAAAACAAATGGAAAACGAAGATTATTGGGAGAACCGGAGATCGACCGAGATCGACGATCGAGATGATCGCCTAAGATTATGGAAATCATGAAGATCGAGAAGGATCTAGAAGATTATCATAACTTAGTTTAGGAATATTTACATAATCCCATTGAGTTTTGGATCATTCTATACTACCATTTTGTTAAAATTAAAACAGAACAAAATGGTAGTATAGAATGTAGTCATGGGCGTTCGGTTATCGGTTCGGTTTCGGTTATAAAATGTAGTATCCATTCGGTTATTTTGAAATTTTGGTTTCGTTTCGGTTCGATTCCGGTTCTTTCGATTTTAAAATTTAGTATCCATTCGGTTATTTTGCTTTGGATATTTTCGAATATTTCGGTTGTTTTTGAGTATTTTCGGATATTTTTTGGTTATTTTTGGATATTTTTATTATTTTTATATATTTTCAAGTACTTTTTTATTATTTGGTATATAAATAACTAATATTTCTGGAAATATAATTGTATTTCGGGTATTTTTGGTTGTCAGAAATATTTTGGTTCTGTACCGATTCGGTTACGGTTCTTTCGGTTATAGAATTTAATATTCTTTTGGTTATTTTTAAATTTTTGGTTCGGTTCGGTTCTATTTGCTTCGGTTTTGATTCGGTACATTTAGTTCGGTTTATTTGGTCAGGCTTAATAGAATGAGTGAAACTTCTGAGAAGAGACACTGATTAATGATTAATAAAATATCAAACTATGATTAGATGTTCTAAGATTTTAAGTGTGGATAATAAAAAGTTTATAGATATAATTATTCGGATTGTAAAACACATATTAATATTACATCATACTAAACCAGATATTTTGTAAACAACTATTTTTATTTTGGCGTAGTCGATACAAAATTATTCTTTAATTAATTAGTGACTAATTTGTTGTGGACCTTGCGGTCATCTTCTCCTAACTGCAAACGCACTGATCATTCATATAGTATTACCGAAAATTGACAATATGTATAGATTATTTGTTAAAATGAAAGGTCTTTCGATTGAAGAATAACAAAAAAAAATCCGATAGAGCAAAGAAACCTTCAAATATTTTTTTTGTCCAATAGAAACCTTCAATTAAACCACAATATATATTACATATTCAATTCTTCAATGAAAAAGCACAAACTTAATTTCATAAATAACATAATTATATAGGTAGATATAATCAAGTTCGACTTGTTTATATTGCACGGCCTAAAGACGACCATGAGCAATCATCTCCAGCAAAGCAATCTCGTTCATCATAACTTCATCACATCCATGCATCACCATATAGCTATCAGTCATCGGCTCATCAAGCTCCATGGTCACACCACTTCCAGAACCGGACGCAGAACCAGAAGTAGACGCTGATCCGGAGGCAGCTGACACAGCCGCCAATGACGGCATCTTGATCCTTCCATTGTCTAAACCCAAGTTCATCACACCATCAACAATATACTTACACTCATCCTCTTCATACTTCGAGACCGCAACCATTACATTCTTACCTTTATCTCTCATGTTTTTTGGACCAATGTTTGCGTTTGAGTTTGCGGTCATGAAGGTATCTTCGTTGTAAGTAACAGACCTAATGTAGTTCTGAAGAGTGTTGCTACCAAGTGCAAGGGAGATTTCATCTTTTCCTTTAGTTCTCCTCGAGTGTTGTCGACGTTTTGTCGCATTCCAATGGTTCTTGATCGTATTTTCGGTGCGTCCCGGGAGATTTCGAGCAATCTCAGCCCATCTATTCCCAATCTCCTTGTGGGCTTTTATCAGTATCATATCCTCTTCTTCAGTCCATACATCTTTCTGTAACATACAACATAAAATATGCTTATATGTAAATGATACATATAATATTAAACCAAAATATTTATTTTATATGTTTTTTTTTCCTTTTTATGTTTGTTGAATTGTATGAGAGAATCCAAATGAAAATGACTTTAGTTTAAATGTCTTACCAATTGTGAAGTTTTGTCCGCAACAAGAGGACAAAATTCCTTAAATAAATGTCATAGACATATATGTATATACAAACAAAAGTTTAAAGTACTCATGCATGAAATAAAACCGTATACATGTTGACAAGTGTGAAAAAAGTTTGTTAAAATTCTCTTAGAAGATTCTCAATGTATCATGTATGAATCTGAACGTATCGAAGAATGGTATTTTGTTTTTGTTTTTCCTGTGAAAAATAAATTGTGAAAATAAGAAGAAGGCAGAAATTAAGAGACCTTGATATCGGGACGGAGATGGTTATGCCACCTTTCTCTGCACTGTTTTCCAACTCTTCCTTGAAGCATTTTAGCAATTTGAGACCATTTTTTAGTTCCATGAAGTTCCACTAATTGCACCAATAACCTAAATATAGGTAGAATCATCAGAAAATCTTCATATTAAAAACAAAATCATACTAGAGAAAAGGAAAAAAAAAAATCATACTAGATTAAGAAAATTATTTATGAGGATTCCAAAAGATTAGATGTTGAATTTACTTGTCTTCTTCAGGAGTCCATTGTCCTTTGATGATGCTAGCTTTTTTCGCGGGTTTACATATCCTCCTCATCTGCAATCTCTTGTTCTTCTTCAAGATCTGCTCGGTCCTGATCATTACCTGATTATTTTGACGTCGATTCATGATGGTATCTTCATTTGCGCTCAAGATTGGTTTAGAGTCCACCATGGCTAGATTGAAGGTTGACTCGGTCCCAAAGACGGATCCTTGGCTTTGATCATTTTCCCACATAGTATTGTCATGTGGGACATGTGAAACGTTAGATTCATCAATAGTTGGTGAGGTGGTATAGGCCATGCCAAAAAACCCTTGGTCGTTGGATGTGCCATGAAAATATGCCTCGAAAGCTTCAGTGCATGGAGAAGGAGTGATGCCCCTAATGGTTTCTTTTGAAGGTATTTCATTTGTGTGAGGCTGCATATCCAAGTGATAGGGAACAATATTTAGATTTTGTATAAAGTGATCTGAAGTTGTGCTTGAGATCTTTGATGAAAGATTCTTGTGACAAAGATCAGGATTAGAGTTTACCATCGATGGAAGATGTGACCTATCGAGATTAATCTGGAAAGGTTTATGATGTACATTGTGTACACAAGAAAAATCATCGGTAAGAGATGGATGAAAATCTTTTAAAGCGAGGCTATCATCGTACATAACGGCTGCGAGATACGGATAATGCATTTTGATCACTGACTCGAACTCCATACGATGATTATGATGAAGAAATTATAAACGTTTAGAAGATGGAACTACTTAAAAAATGAGTGAAGTATGAAACCCTAGATCTGAAAGAAGAAATGAGTTGGTGAAGAACACAAAGACACTTTTTTTTTTTTGGTTTAAAGAACACAAGACTTGAAAGAGAGCAATTTAACTTCACTGCAAAAAAAAGGGATGATGAGAAAATTAATTGATAAATGAAATGAAATTCAAGCTTGAAGATGAAATTAAGGAAGAGGAAAAACAGGGAGAAGTAAAGGTAAAGGTAAAATATTAAGACTTTATAAATAAGAACAACTGTGAAGAGCGATGAGCTGGCAAAGATCTAACCTTTAATAACTTGTTTGAGTTAAAAAGTTACTTTAAAAAATTTTTGGTAGTCCAAGGGTAAATTGGTCACTAAAGTTTGTCATGTAATAATCATGAAGTCGTTATAAGGTAGTTTGTATTGTTGCGGAAAATTCTCGGGCATATTTGTGACAAGTGTAAAACATGTAAGCAATATTATTTCTAATAGCCGTGCGATTATCTTTTTGGTGTTGCAATATCAATCTAATGGTTCGTATTGTACATAGGGTCC